TTGAAGGCCTGCATCAAGACAGAGTGGGCTCCCATTGAACCAGACTACATCAAGAAGTTGGCAAAAAGCGTACCTAAACGTTTGCACATGGCAATTGCTTTAAATGGAGCCACAACACACTACTAGATGAATCTAAAATTATGCGTATATAGTTTTGACGCGATCACTTGTCGTTATATTTTCGATTGTGAAATAAAATAAATTGTTGGGCTAGCTAAGCTTTCAGGGTTGCTTCTTAACAGTTATCCACGTGGTATAGCGCTTAGCTTGACATTTAACTCGCACTACCAGAAGAGAAATCTTCATTTTTCAATGCGTATATAGTTTTGACGCGGACTGTATGAACCTGTCTAAGATAAGCTCGTACCGTAAAAGTCGACTCCAGTGCGACACCGATTAGCGGTAAAAATCAAGTCATTAAAAAAACCATACGAGGTTTAATGACCCGCATGAGCGACATCCATCCTTACAACCAGTGGCGCTCCATTGTGCAAGCTTCCCGCCTTCCACTCCATATCACACAAGCACGCAATGAAGCGCCGCCCTAAGAACAAGAACAAGGTCAAGCTGAAGGTATGAAATCGCGTATCACATACCTCATACTTAATTCTAAGTCATTTTTTAATGTAATAATGATAGGGAGTCGAAACCTCAAAGCAAACTCTGTAGTCACTGTCGCGGTACAGATGGCGTGCATCGCTCGTTTGTATACCGCTGGAGAGAGCAAAAGACAAAACTAGAAGGTGACAAGAAGAATGGAAGCAAGTTCTACGTAAATTTAAAGGCACATGAGGCACAGCGAGTGCGCTATCCTGGTTTGGGCTTTTTTTGATTTTCTAGTTCTTATTTTTCTAATCTATTAGCTGTGATGTCAAGGCTTCTTGCATATGTTTCAGAAATGAGAAAAAACCGCAAACTTTGCGTAACTACGAAGTGCTTAATTTTAATGATGCCAAAGTCCGATCCAGCCTTTACTCGGTCTCGCAACTATGTTGCTCTTCAGTACATCCCACCGGGTGTTACTGCCCTAAGTCAGCCAATGGATGTCAGCGTAATGCGGACCTTCAAAAAGAAGATCGAGTAAGTTTTTTTGTTTTTATTTGCTCACTAATTTTTGATAATAATTTGTGTGATAAATTTTAGAGACCTCTACGTGCATTATCATACCGACCATCCTTTCCCAGCTGACACAGCAGAACGCCGTGTGATGCTATCTATCTTGGTAGCGAAAGCATGGGACATGGTCAAGGCAAAAAGTATTGTAAAAGGTTTTCGAAAGGCAAAACTGCTTCCTATAGGTCCTACAGATGTGTCCGATGTCTTTGCAATGTACCTCCACTCACTGCCAGAAGCTGCTGTTGTCGATGATGCTTCGGACATCGAAGACGAAAGCTTTGATGACTGAAATGCGCTTTTGTTTGCTTTCACAAAAAATCGATTATTCTACAGTATTAGAGGCTTTTAGCAGAACCTTGTAGGTTTCGACCTCAACCGCAGCAGATGGTCTACTTCACCGGTTGCGAGTTTATCTTTAGCTCAACCGAGTGAGTAGCAATTTTTGACCATATGTCGAGCCTTCATTTTAAGACTGACCCAGCATCGCTTTAGCAAGACAAGTGTGATGGTTTTTCGGTTCTCGGAAGACATGGATAAGGAGCTCATGTGCGAGGTTATCAAGCAGAGACCGTTCGCAGCCAAATACGGTGAGACTGGTACAGTGTGGGTACAAGTTGCAACGCGTGTGAGTGCTTCCATAAAGGTCGTAGTGATAGACAAGCAGGTTCAAGATCGAGTTCGACTCCTGAAGAAAAATTGGCGTGCAGGAGAACTGCGAGCCACATTAGGCAGTGGTATTGAAGAAGCCAAGGACGCAACGGACGTACAAAGTCATTACAATACGTTGGCTGGGCTAGTCGGGCAATATGTTGCATTGGAAAGTGAATTCGCGACCGAAAAAAAAACAAGAAACAAAAAAAGCAGGCTGAAGAAGCCCAAACTAACGTCTGCGCGTCGCAAAGTGTAGCCGAAGCTATTACACGTCGAGCTCTGCGTGGTGAATATCTGCTATCTAGCGACTCGTCCTCGGAGAGTGAAGACGACACTTCTTCTGTGGCATCAACACAGTCTGTCGCTTCGCAAGCAAACACCACCAGGACAGTCACCTCTACACGTCGTAAGAGCACTTACCAACTAGAAGTTGATAGACAAGAAAAACGTATACGACTGGATACGGAGATGCGTCGGGATCGGTTTGAGCGTCAATTGAAGTTGCAGCAGCAACAACATTCTGAACGACATTCATTTGAAAGGGAACACCATGCAAACCGACTGCAGTTTGAACGAGAGCGTGACCAAGCTCGAGAACGTGCCGAATTTCGGCTTACACAAGCGCGCGAACAATCCGAAGAGCGGAACAGACAACTGATTTTGCAGTGCCCTAAGCTTTTTAGCGAGTCCTTTAACGGGGGCAACAACAATAGGCAAGTCAGACGAATAACGGAGGCAACAAGCAATAGGCAAGTCGGACGAATAACGACTTTATTTCAATACATTATTTTTTTTTCAGATACTCGGGCAGTCCTGGAGGAGATAGACCGAAGTAGGCGCTGATAGTATTTCCTCCCTTGGCGCAAGTCAGACAATTTGTTAGCAAAACACCAACGCGATACATCGTGCCGACTGGCTGAGTGCCAGACCGAGCCTGTCGTTTGAAGTCGAGAGCCGTCCTATGTTCACAACCTGCCCGTAGCCCCACTCAACAGAGACGCGCACTCTGCTCATGTTTCTGTTGACAAGCTTTTGATCCCGGGATAGATTTCCGATTGCACCTGTGAAGGGGCTTGTCAATACCCCCGTCGTTACCGTAGGCTTGATCACCGTACACTCTGTAGAATTTGAACCGCTCGTCATTTTGGATGGCACTTGCAAGTCGGGATTCCTTAACCTTTATCCCCAATTAGCCCACCGGTACGCTTAGCAGCCTACCGGTAGGCTAAACTTCAAAAATAGATTTTGGGTCGTTAGAAGTGTTCTGAGTAGTCGTCGATAGCTCATGGCGAAGCTGAAACACCAGTCAGCATCATAGTTAGT